TGTGTTTGGATTTCTTTACTTTATCTCATTAAAATATCTTACAGCCTTTGTGGCCTCCCACCTACTTGTCACATCCTTTGAGCCGGGTTGTGACAAAAGTTATCGATAACATAAAAGTTATAACATTGAATATAACGTTGGTGTCACAAATAAAGATAAAGTGTAACAATCAAATACATTAAAAAATAAATGTAAACACCAAAAAAGAAGCTGTTATTCTGATTATACTGGCCTCGCCTTTTCATGGCTGAAGCAGTTTCCTTTGTCATAACTCGACTTCTCAGTCAACCTTCTGAATGCAACGTTCTCAGTCTGAGAGTCTTTTCTTTATGTAACAAACTAACTGGATAAACTGTTTGAGACACACAAAGGTTTTGGATTCTAAATATGAGATAAAATCAAAATGTAAATATTTTGTAAATAATTTGATTTGTACTGTTTACATGAGTGAATGAGGGAATTGTAGCTCAGAAATAAAAGAGCTCTGGCTCAAGCAAGACACTAGCTTCGGTGTCCTCTCTGTTAATCCACAGTTTCTATATGAATGGCTTTGCAGTGCCCCTTAGTCTGTGTATCGCTTCCTGTTGGTCCAGATTTCCCCTGGGTCAGGCACAGTAACAGTAACAGAAATTAGACTATATTGAGTGTTCAGACTCACAGTTTTCTTCAGTCTGTGTTTTGTTTCCTGAAATGACAAAAAAAAAATGCATACACCAAACAGTAAAACTCAAAGCTTTTTATGTATAAAGTTTCATCTGTGAATGTTCTCACCTTTAGTTTTTGTCCACATGTTGACTGTAACAGCAGATATTAAGAGTGCTGCTAAACCCACAGACACGATGATGCATCTCAGCAAATACAGACAATCTGAAAATAATACAAAAATGTTGGTGTCAAATTTTTGTTCAACTCAAAAGATTTCAAATGTGATAAAAACAGTCAGTTTTCTAACATGTAGTGATGATGTTTGAGTGGTTTCTTTTTAGACTGTGGAGTTTCTAAAGTATTTATTCTTATAAGTTGAACGTGATACTGAATTTTCCCACAAAGATTCAACTGTCAGTCTGACATTCAGAGACAAATTCAGTCACTACCTGCTGGTGGATCATTTGATGTCTCTTCTAACAGTGTTGATGTTGTGGATTTTGTTGTCGATGATGTTTTTGTGGTGAACTTCACTGTTGTTGATTTTGTAGTTTTCACATCTTCATCTAAAGAAAAACAATAACATCATTAAAGACACTGACAGTAAGAAAAGACTTGAAAGTAAGTGAACAACAACAGAGAGGAAACAGTGGTGAGATGTTTAACAGTCTAAAAAGTCTCATTTTTGATGATGTCTCATGTCTGAGGATATGTTCTCTTTATCTTCATACAGACACTCAACTGTGAGTCTACAGTGTTCATATGTCAACACAGAGCTGTTCAAGATGCTTTATCATTGTTCTCATGTACACACACTGGTGAAGATGGAGATGTTGTAAGAGAAAAGCAACAATAGAAAAATGAACTTCATCACCGTGATCATAATTATTGTGGTGTTTCAGTTTGTTGTTCTAACAGGACAGTTTGAGCTGAAAACATTAAGATGTAAATACTCACTGTTAATAACAGACAGATGAATCTCAGAGTCTGGACCTTCTTGTGGTCCTGTTGCTGTTTTGAACTGTCTGCAGGTGTAACGACCAACATCCTGATCTGTGACCTTCTTTATAACCAGAGAACAGCCTGCAGAAACACTCAGTCTGTCTGATTTAGGTTTGACTTCTTTATTCTGCCCAAACTCAAAGAGTGATACTGTGGTGCTTGAATCACTGAAGATCCAGGTAGTACTGATACAGTTATGCTGACCTTGTATCACATTATTACAAGGCAGAGTAACATCATGTCCACGTCCAGCTGTGACAGTTTGATGTTGCTCAGTTGTTCCTGTTGAGAAAAAGAGAGAGAGATGTGAAACATCAAATATGTTATAAATATGAGTGTTATGTTTATAATGTGACGTTTATTTTAAATACAACACAAGTTTAAGATTCAACTTTAGTTTCCAAGAGTCAGATAAAGTCAAAAGGTTTATCATGACTGTCTCAGTTAAAGGAAGAATAAATAACACCTGTGATAATAATGCAGTTCATTAATTGAATGTGTTTCTATGCACACTTACCTTTAAACTGAAGCATCAGCATCAGTAATGAAGACATTTGAATCCATGTGAATGCAGCCATCGTGCTTCTCTGTCTCTCTCAGTCTCTGTTCTTGCTCTCAGAGATGAACACAGCATCAACTTCCTGCTCACTTCCTCATAGTGGCATCACTCTTTTTTTCTTCTCTTGCTGAATTAATCCAGTTCATAATGTTTAAGCATCTGTATCTCCCCTCTCTTACTGTTGATATCAAATGATTAACAATGTTTTAAATATTCAATTACTTTTACATCTAATCTGTAACTATATACTTTTTTTTATATTTTAGTAACTTTTACATTTAAGCTTTAATTATATTTAGTTTATTTATGTCTTATAGTTACCAAGTTCAATTTGTAGACTTCTAGCAGCAGCTTTGATAAGAACACAGATGAGATGTGTTAGTGGTCAGAGACCTGCTGCTTCCTCATTGCACCTCTGAAGTCATTTATTTCTGAGAAGTGAAGGGGAAGCAGAAGTGCTTTGGTGAGAATGTGGGTACAACAGCAGCAGAGCTCTGGAGGTTTCATGATGACCAGATGAACCTCTGACAGATAAATGGTTAACACATCAATGAGGATTAGACTGAAGCGTCTTTAGGTTTCCCATCATTTTCAACAAATAGCAGATTATTTTATCTTGTTTTTTTTATGTAATTTGAATAACAGGCACTAATTCTGCTGCAAAACAATCAATAATATTATTACATATATTTTCTGTTTATCTTTGGTTCAGTCTTATTATCATACAGCCAATACAAAGAGACATAATTTAAGATAAAATTTAAAAAATTGTAATATGCAGTATAACATCAGTTACTGTCACTTTTAAACACATTTAGTAGTAATCTCTCCACAATTAAACCATCACTGTGGGAAGATCAAAACTGTCATGGTTAATGCGTTTGTATTAATCCTACGGTAGTGAAGTGTTAATTTATTTAAAATCAGCAAGTAAAATATTTCCATTGGTGTGTCATATGTGGGTCTGTACATTTAATATGTCAGCTGACAACAATGCTGTCATTTTCTGTTTCTTTTAAAAGAGTTTAAAAACCTTTTTAAATAGATTTAATGAGCAAATATGTACTAGACCTCATATCGCTGGACAGAAATCTGTAGACTTACTGCACTAAAGTTTCTCTCTGTGAAGTTTCTGCCCGACTGTGGTTGTTTCAGGTTTACTCAAAACATTTTGCTTATGGTTTCAAATTTACACCCTCTTTAATACTTTTAGAAGTTACTGGATAGTTGCATTTACCTGAAGAAAAAAGTAATTATGTTTATATTTCCAGACCAAAATGCACACAAAAGACTGACTGACTGATTAAAAAGAATTTATTTCTACTGATGAAATGTCCAAAATACAAAGTCCACTGATCGAATAAACAGATTTCAAAACCAACTGGGAAATCACCGGGAGGAAAAGAAACATTAAGGCAAAGACTGAAAGAAAGACAACACTACTTATAAACGAGGGTATCATAATTACAGGAAGTGAACACAGGTGGTTGATGAAATGTAAGTGAAAATAATCAAAGACAATTTAATTAGTAAAACTAAACACAAAGACAATAAAACAGGAAGTGAGAACCATAACTAAATGTGGAAAAGACACACGAATGAACTTCACATAAGAAAATTGGCACAAGAATTTATGACAGGAAACTCTAAGGGAACAAATTCAACAGTAAAACTGAGACTAAACTATAACAAGAACTAAAGTCCAAAATACTCAACATTATGTTTACAATAATGAATAAAGGCAGCAAACAAGACACATAATAAGCTACTGTAAACTATGTTATTCAGTAACACAGATTATATTTACAGTGCACATACAGGTATATCTATAATAGAAAGATTAGTAATCAAAGCGCTCTGTGAAGGGATCAAATTAAAGATGAATATTTAGCTCTAATAATGTGCTTAAGCTAAACAACAGTAATTTTCTTTTTAAAAACATGATAAGTGATGTGTATACCTTTATTCCAAATATATTTTTCAAAGGGAAGAAAAAGGAAGTTACTCTATCAAACAAACATTCATCAGCATCAAGGAAAAACAGCACACAACCTTTCATTAGCAACATACTGTTTCTTTGGTTTGTCCATGGTGGAATAGAGGTCGCTGGGATGAGCGGAAACTCCAGTGGGAAAGGAGGAAGCTTTCACAGTGATGTAAGTCACACTTCATCATCACCACCACATGACTATAAGTAAACAGTATGTGTTATTAAATACATATACCTGGCAGGAGCTTTAAAAACCACAAACTTCCTGCTAACATCATGTCTGTAAATATTAAAATCTTACCTGGTCTTTGTTCTTGGTTTTCTTTGTGAAGCTAATGGAGACGTAGGAAACACCATCATCATCTTCAGCCTTCACAGTGAAGACAGCATAATGATTGCTCAGTAATATGTGGATTTATAACAGGTGAGTTTCACATTTATTTAAGTAAATTCATTTTCAGCTCATCCTCATCACATCACGGTTCTTCCTCTTCTCTGTTGACCTAAACATAACACTTTGAACTGGTAGTAGGGTGTCATCTTACCATCTCCTGACTGGTTCCTGGACCAGACTCAGTGTCTGCAGGGTTTAAACTCAGTCATCGCAAAACGTTTGTGACCAAAATAGTCATCAGACTCATCTCATAGGAAAAAAAAACATCAGCTGCAAATGAAAAATAAAGATGTAACAATTATGATAATAATGCAGTTTATTAATTGAATGTTTTTTCTATGTACACTTACCTTTAAACTGAAGCATCAGTATCAGTAATGAAGACATTTGTATCCATGTGAATGCAGCCATCGTGCTTTCAGTGTAATCTCACAAATGAGACAGTCTCAGAGATGAATACAGCATCAACTTTCTGCTCACTTCCTCATAGCAACACATAACTTCTTTTCTCTCCTCGTGGTGAATGAATTCAGTTCATTGCTTTTAAGCATCATTAACTCCTTCTCACTCTTAACATAGATATTAAATGAGTGATAAAAACACACCAACATGCTTTAAGTTGATATTTAATATATTTTGCAGATTGCCTTGTTGTTCTTTTAAAGGACTGTGCAACAGTGGAAACTGATCAATAATAGAATAGAGGAAGTTAAATGTGTGAAGACAATTAGTTGCAACTATTCTTGACGGTTTATTTTTGAAAACAGTGTCCGTGGTGATGCTTGTCCACATGTGAAAGAGATCAAAACTCTTTACACCATTACAGATCATTTTGTTTTATTTGTTCATTTTTAATACAATTTGAAATCATATAGTAGGAACACCCTGTGATAGACTGGTGAGCTGTCCATGGTGTACCCTGCCTCTCGCCCTACTTAGATTTTTCTGTTTATTTTTAGTTCATTCTTATTATAATACAGGCAACAGAAAGAGAAGCAGTTGCAGAAAATACTGAAGTTGTAATATGGAGCATAACATCAGTCTGTAATTATCTTTTGAACTGAGCTCAAAGCTCAAGTACAAAGGAGGAGAGATAAAAATTAAATATATAAATGACAAAATTAACCCTCCAGTTGTGTTCACCCAACCCCTTACTTTAATGTTCCCAGCCAAAATTGACCGGACAGTTTTAATAGCTCTTAAATTAACATAAGAAACATTGTTCACCACCAAATTCAGTTCAGTGGGTAGGTCAGTGGGTTGTTCAGTAAGTCGTAAAAGTGGGTCTTTCATTTTGTCATTCAGTGGCCCATTCAGGAGGTCTGAGGCCAAAGGGACGGGTGGGGGTGGATTCCCATTCATTTGCTACACCACAGATATAACAAAGTTGATTAAAAGACTCAAAATTCAAGAGGTGCTCATCACTTTTATATGTTCAAGTGCAAAGTGTGGAGGATGTCATAAGGACTCGAGGCAATCGGATGTAAAACACAATTTATGAGTTTTGAAATCTGTAAATGGTCAGATTTGACCCGAACACGACAGGAAGGTTAAAACAATGAGTCATTTTGATCTGTGTGTGTTGCATTTAACTGTAAAATTAAAAATCAGAAACTACAGCTTTTATAATCATTTCATTTCGCAGCATTCAATTTTTAGAACCAAGCCCGATTTTTTTTTCCTGATTTTTGGGACCGGATAAACGGATGTGACCAATCAGACGACTGCATTTGAAAACAAGTGCGGTCAAAGCTCAAAATGCAAATATACTGATTATGCAGAGTAATGGAAATAGTAAAATTTCTGTTTTACCTCAGACACACAGTTACAGGCTGCTCTGACTCAGGCTACTCAAAAATGATTTCTATGCCTTCTCAGATGAAGCCCCAGCTCTGCTAACAAGCACTCAAACTGCCTCACTGACATCCTGGAATGTGTGAACATGATGCAGCTTCGAGTCGTGGATCAAACCACGAAATTCTCCCTGCTGCTGCCTGCGTGTGAGAACTGGATGAACTCAGACTCTCCATTTCTTCCTTTTGTTGAAACATGAAAACTAGCTCATCATCACTTCATTTTTTTCACATTGCTTTTTTTAAGATGACTTTTTCACAACAACCTATCGTGCTCGGTGTGTAATGTAATACTGTCATAGACAATCATGAGAATATGTTTAAGGTATATAAAATTTTAAAAATTCAGGGATGGGAACATTTATATCTACTAATGTGCTTAAGAAAACAACAGGTAAGTTATTTATTTAAAAATATCTCACATGACTTAATTCAGCGGCTAAATAAACTACCTTCTCTGTACTGACTTGAGTTAAACTTTCAAAAAAGTGCTTGCTGCATGGTGGTTATTTGTTGATGGTGGAATAGACGTCGCTGGAATCAGTGGAAACTCCAGCAGGTGGAGAGAAGGCTTTCACAGTGCTGTAGGTTATAGTGTCACCATCATCATCGACACAGGGCTGTAAGAAAACATCACAAAATTTTCTTAAAGACAAGACCTTTGAAAAGTCTGAACTTACTACTGACATAATTTCTATAAATATCAAAATCTTACCCGGTCTTTATTCTTGGTTTTCTTTGTGAAGCTGATGGTGGCGTAGGAAACTTCATCATCGGCTTCAGCCTGCACAGTGAAGACAACATAATGACTGCTCAGTAATATAAATTTAACCTGAAGAAAACTTAAATGACTACTGGAGGAAGTGATTTAAGTTATTTGTCAGCTGAAGTTATTGCCATTGGTTTTTCCCTTTATCCTTTTCACTTTATGAACTGAAGTCAACACTAAAGGTGTAAAATGATTCTGGTATGGAGAATAAACGGCATCTGAGTATTTGAAGATTTGAACTCACAGTGTTGTCGCTCTGTTGTGTTTTGTTTCCTGAAGAAGAGAAAATAATTCATTAACTTCCCCATTAAAAAATCGCAGTTTTTTTTCTGTTTTTACTAATCACAAGCTACAGAAATGTAAAACAAAACTGCATTCAACCATATAATTATTTTAATTAATATTTAAATTTCCTTATTTCCATTTATGATCAACTTTAGTCTGTGAGTCCTCTCACCTTTACTTTTCTTCCATATGATGATGACCACAACTAACAGTGCTGCTAAACCCACAGGAACGATGATAAACCATGACTGAACTGAAAACATTATTAATAAGTGTTAAAGGTGATACTGAATTTTCCCACAAAGATTCAACTGTCAGTCTGACATTCAGAGAGAAATTCAGTCACTACCTGCTGCTGGATCATTTGATGTCTCGTCTAACGGTGTTGATGTTGTGGATTTTGTTGTCGATGATGTTTTTGTGGTGAACTTCACTGTTGTTGATTTTGTCGTTTTCACATTTTCACCTAAAGAAAAACAATAACATCATTAAAGACACTGACAGTAAGAAAAGACTTGAAAGTAAGTGAACACCAACAGAGAGGAAACAGTGGTGAGATGTTTAACAGTCTAAAAAGTCTCATTTTTGATGATGCCTCATGTCTGAGGATATGTTCTCTTTATCTTCATACAGACACTCAACTGTGAGTCTACAGTGTTCATATGTCAACACAGAGCTGTTCAAGATGCTTTATCATTGTTCTCATGTACACACACTGGTGAAGATGGAGATATTGTAAGAGAAAAGCAACAATAGAAAAATGAACTTCATCACTGTGATCATAATTATTGTGGTGTTTCAGTTTGTTGTTCTAACAGGACAGTTTGAGCTGAAAACATTAAGATGTAAATACTCACTGTTAATAACAGACAGATCAATCTCAAAGTCTGGACCTTCTTGTGGTCCTGTTGCTGTTTTGAACTGTCTGCAGGTGTAACGACCAACATCCTGATCTGTGACCTTCTTTATAACCAGAGAACAGCCTGCAGAAACACTCAGTCTGTCTGATTCAGGTTTGGTTTCTTTAATATGCCCAAGGTTAAAGAGTTCTACTGCTGCCGTTTTACTTGAACGACTGAAGAGCCAGGTAGTACTGTTACAGTTATGCTGACCTTGTATCACATTTTTACAAGGTAGAGTAACATCATGTCCACGTCCAGCTGTGACAGGTTGATTTTGTCCAGGTGTTCCTGTTGAGAAAAAGAGAGAGAAATGTGAAACATCAAATATGTTATGAATATGAGTGTTATGTTTATAACGTGAAGTTTATTTTAAATACAACACAAGTTTAAAATTCAACTTTCATTTCCAAGAGTCAGCTAAAGTCAAAAAGTTAAAAGTTAACCATGGCTTTCTCAGTTAAAGGAAGAATAAATAACACTTGTGATAATAATGCAGTTTATTAATTGAATGTGTTTCTATGTACACTTACCTTTAAACTGAAGCATCAGAATCAGTAATGAAGACATTTGAATCCATGTGAATGCAGCCATCGTGCTTCTCTGTCTCTCTCAGTCTCTGTTCTTGCTCTCAGAGATGAACACAGCGTCAACTTCCTGCTCACTTCCTCATAGTGGCATCAGTCTGTTTGTCTCCCCTGTGTCCAGAGGAATTAATTTATTTAATTCTGCTCGATAACCTCCCTCTCTCTCTTATTGTAGATATTAAATGACTTTTAAACATTCTTACTTTTAGATTTCATGTGATTTACATGAAAACTTGTCAACCTTTTGAAGGACTGAAGGACAGAAGTTGAAGATATCTTGATCAAAAATAGGAGAGAGCAAGTTAAAGGTGTGAAGACTGTTAGTAGAGATAAAGTCAGCTAAAGTCAAAAAGTTAATCATGACTGTCTCAGTCTCTGTTCTTGCTCTCACGTCCACAAATGAGTCTCCGAGATGAACACAGCTTCAACTTCCTGCTCACTTCCTCATAGGTTCATAGTGTTTAAGCAGCCATATCTCCCTCTCTCTCTTAATGTAGATATTAAATGACTAAAAACTTTTTAAAACATTTACATTTAATATCTTCTGTAATTAATTTATTTTGCAGACTTTCCTGTCTATTTTAAAGGACTGCAGAACAGTGTAAAATGTTTGATCAACAACAGAAAAGAGAAGTTAAATGTGTGAAGACTGTTAGATGAGGTAAGTGTTGACTTTAATGCAGCTCTTCTGTACATTTGGTTCATTATTAGAAAACAGTGTCCATGGTGATGTTTGTCTGCACACACGAAAAGAGGTCAAGATTTAAACTTATTACACATCAGAATTTGAGTTGTGATGTTCGCAATGATGACACTGCAGCAGTGACCACTGTTAGCAGCTAGATGAGATGTGTTAGTGGTCTGAGACCTGATTGTTCCTCTTTACACCTCTGAAGTCGTTTTTTTCTGATAAGTGAAGAGGAAGTGTTTAGCATTCACTGAAAAAGTTCAAACTGTACTTACCAAGAAGCTGGAAAGCCAGTCAGCTCGGCACAATAAGAAAGTTAGCCTGTTAGCATCAGAGCCCTTGAACAGCATCTACAACTTGAGCATTTTGGTTCACACTAATCTTTAAAACTAAGCGTGCACAGTCAGACATGTTATTGTTACTCGTATTCTTTTCTTTCTATGTTTTTAAAGTGTCTGAAGGCTGAAATTGAGTGTTTTTGCTGTCAAAGATGTTTTTTGAATATCACTAACAGGAAGTTTGATATCATCATAGATACAGTGATATACTCCGCTCCTTTTTTGTATTGTTAAAAATGTAATGGACCAGATTTAAACAAAAAAAAGTTTAATAACAATATACCGTGCAGTGTGTCACTTAATATAAAGGTAAATGTCACTAGATTACAATAACAATGAAGTCTTCTTCATTTCCAGGCCATTCCTGCAGCATAACGATATAACTGACTGATAAATATACAGTCAGTTATATGTTTTAAAGATTTCTTCAGTAACTACGGACTTACATGATGTATTAACTGAGGCGAAGTAGTTCACTCAAAGTTTTTTTTAAAGACATCAAAGAAAAGATGAATTTTTAGATATATTAATGTGCTTAAGCTAGCAACACTTATGGTAAATGGCCTGTATTTGTATAGCGCTTTACTTAGTCCCTAAGGACCCCAAAGCACTTTACACATCCAGTCATCCACCCATTCACACACACATTCACACACTGGTGATGGCAGCTACATTGTAGCCACAGCCACCCTGGGGCGCACTGACAGAGGCGAGGCTGCCGGACACTGGCGCCACCGGGCCCTCTGACCCTCTGACCACCGGGCCCTCTGACCACCACCAGTAGGCAACGGGTGAAGTGTCTTGCCCAAGGACACAACGACCGAGACTGTCCGAGCCGGGGCTCAAACCGGCAACCTTCCGATTAGGCGACCTCCCAACTCTTGAGCCACGATCGCCCCTTATGATATACTTATTAGCTGTTCAAGCATTCTGCAGGATGCAGATTACATGAAAATTACAACCAGGACTCAGCCTTGAAATTCCGCCTCCCAGCACACACCAAAACAGTGACAATGGGTTGAAAATGAACAGCAGAGCTCACGTAACATCTGCTTCTATCTTTTTAAATTCAGCAAAAAGAGAGCAAAGCGATCAGTACTAACAGATCTGCTCAAACTAGTTTAAGGTTTAATACTGAAGATGAAAGAACAGGAAGTCAAACTGGAGAGAATAATCTAGACTAGTTTGTAGTCTATTATGGTTCAGGTGTGTGGGGAGTCAACTGGGAGTCTACAGTGTTCATATGTCAACACAGAGCTGTTCAGATGGTTCAGATGAGTGAAGATGGAGATATTGTAAGAGAAAAGCAACAATAGAAAAATGAACTTCATCACTGTGATCATAATTATTGTGGTGTTTCAGTTTGTTGTTCTAACAGGACAGTTTGAGCTGAAAACATTAAGATGTAAATACTCACTGTTAATAACAGACAGATCAATCACAAAGTCTGGACCTTCTACTGGTCCTGTTGCTGTTTTGAACTGTCTGCAGGTGTAACGACCAACATCCTGATCTGTGACCTTCTTTATAACCAGAGAACAGTCTGCAGAAACACTCAGTCTGTCTGATTCAGGTTTGACTTCTTTAATCTGCCCAAGCTCAAAGAGTTCTACTGAACTGCGTGAATCACTGAAGATCCAGGTAGTACTGATACAGTTATGCTGACCTTGTATCACATTTTTACAAGGCAGAGTAACATCATGTCCACGTCCAGCTGTGACAGTTTGAACAGTTTGATGTTGCTCAGTTGTTCCTGTTGAGAAAAAGAGAGAGAGAAATGTGAAACATCAAATATGTTATGAATATGAGTGTTATGTTTATAATGTGAAGTTTATTTTACATACAACACAAGTTTAAAATGCAACTTTAGTTTCCAAGAGTCAGATAAAGTCAAAGAGTTATTCATGACTGTCTCAGTTAAAGGGAGAATAAAGAAGTAACACTTGTCTCCCCTGTGTCCAGCTGAATTAATTTATTTAATGCGGCTCGATAACCTCCCTCTCTCTCTTCTATTATTTTTACTTCTAGATTTCATGTGAATTGCAGACTCACTTGTTCTCTTCTCACTTGTAGTTTTTAAGGACTGTACAGAAGTTGAAGATATCTTGATCAAAAACAGGAGAGAGGAAGTTAAAGGTGTGAAGACTGTTAGTAGAGATAAGTGTTTGCAGTACTTTAGCTCTTCTGTGCATATGGTTTATTATTAGAAAACAGTGTTCATGATGATGTTTGTAGACACACATGTAAAGAGGTCAAAATTCAAAAAACTCTTTCTACACAAGAAAACCTTGATGTCAACAATAAAACATGGTGATACTGCTACAGTGATCATTAGCATTAGCAGCTAGAACAAAGGTGAAATGCATTAGTGCCCTGATACAATGTGACTCGTTGTTTCTTCTTAGAAGTGAAGGGGAAGTGAGAATTCAGCAGAGCTCTAGATGTTTAATGAGGACCAGATGAGCCTCTGACAGATAAATACGTAACACATCAATGAGTCTGAGATTGAACTGCCTTTGGTTTCACCTGGTCACTGAAGACCACACAGCTGTTCAAGAAGGCTCAGCAGCGGAGGAAATTCGGTACGTTGGCCAAAATCCTCAGCAGGTTCTTGGTTGACAGCAGGCTCTTGAAGAGCACAGTGACCAGCTGCATCACTGCATGGTACGGCAGCACTACTGCTATGGACCGCAAACGCCTGCAGAGAGTGATAACAACTGTGGAGAAGATCATCATGACTCCATTGCCCTCTCTGCAAAGCATCTACCATCGCAGAGTACAGAGGAGAGTTGCCTCCATCCTCTAAGACCCCACACACCCCCAACACGGACTGTTCACACTTCTGCCCTCGGAGCGGAGGTTCAGAAGTGTGAAATCCAGAACATCCAGACTCAACAACTCCTTCTTCAACAGTGATGTTCTGAAGGCAACATCACTGTTGCCTTCAGAACAATGAAGATAATTTTTTTTGCACATCAGGTCATCCTACATATTAAGCCAGCATATAAAGCTGTAGCTCTTTTGCACACATCTCTGTTTCAAATCTCCATATTTTGTCTCCCTTTCTGTCTTTGTTTATTTATTTGTACTATTTGTATTTATGTTCTATTTCTATTGTACACATTAATCAGCATCTGTGGGTGGACAGCAAAGAAAGAATTTCATTGCACAGAGAAATGCCTTTTTCTCTTGTGACACATGACAATAAACACTTTGAATATTGAATTAATGGTTAAGTGTCTGTTACTGTTTGAGGGGTCGGTCTGTTTGGCACAAATGACAGTAAGCAAAGTAAAAGTAATATATTCCCTAGCATACCCCTCTGCCTATTTTAATCACACTGGGAGAACTAAAATTAACTTCATAAGGAAGATGACTACTGGATAAAACGTTTTGATTCACAAGATCGAACCATGAGTTAAATATATGA